AGGTAGAAGAAACATCAGGAGATTATATCAGATAACCAAGTCTCTATCCGGGAAGAGATCAATCCAGATGATGAAACCAATAAAAGATGCTGAAGGGAACCTGATCACCAAGAACGAGAAACAAATCAAACAATGGGCTGATCACTTGACAGGACTCTTGAATCGACCATTACCCGCAACTTGTTCAGAAATACCACCACTGAAAGCACGCATAGAACTGCCTGCCAGTGGACATCAATCCTCTAACGAAAGCAGAAATCTAGTATACGATTAAGCTACTGAAGCCTTGGAAGGTAGCAAGAGCAGACGACATTCCTCCCGAAGCACTGAAAACGGCCTCAGAGATTACAGCAGATGTTCTCACCCCGTTACTGCAAAAAGCTTGGAAGAAAGTTACCTATCGAGTGGAATAAAGGCTGGCTACCTCGTCAAGTTGCCAGAGAAGGGCAACTTAGGCCTGTGCAAGAACTGGCGTGAGATAATACTCTCGTCCACGTCCAGCTGAAGACGACGACAGAAAACATAGCAAAAAGGAGATGGGTTTTCGAAGCCCCATGTTCCACTCGGAACGCAAGCGAATAATAATAAGTATTCATGGTTAGCGGTTAAAAGAGATGTCGATAAATTGGGAGCCAAACTTTATGTGCAGAGTTACGACACTTAGTCTTAAAAATGAAGAACCTGGGCCAGGCACCCATTGGTTTGTCTATTATTTCACTCACTGTATTAGGGTTTCTCAGATCGGTGGTTTTTAAACTTAAACTTTCACACTTGTAACATATAACAGTATGGCTAAACATAGGTTTAATGAGAAGTATTATTATTGTGATATTATTTTAGCTGTATCAAACAGAAAAAAAAATAAGCAAATAATGGACATCTGTTCTTCACTGTCTAACATGCATTTGGTGAACATTCAAAAGCTAGTGGGTGCCCAATACTCCAGACAACAGAAGCCGTAGCAGTTCACTTGAAACAGCTGCGACTGTGAACACAAAAGGGATGGGTCCAAACACTGTTGCTACCCTGGTATGTAGTTAAATGTGTAAACTACTAAACACACTTCTATATAACCTGTGTGTATATATTTCGCATCACTTATTTTACGAAGATTTCTTAACTCATTCAATCTTTCTAACCAGTCCACATACATACATGCAATAACATGTACATGTGATACACAACACCAATTTCTCTCCCAGACTTTTGATGTTAACTTACATTTTTACATAGACTTTTGTAATCGGATAGAATAGAAAACCTATTTTATTATCATTCATTATAACTGATGGACAACCTTTTGTTGTATGAACTTATGTAATTTATCTTGTGTATATATGTTTTGAAATCCACTGAAGTGAAAATTCACTCAGATATTACTGTTCGCATAAATCTTTATGTTATAAAAGCCTTTAGATTATCTAATCTTAGTAAATTCGATATATATTTTAAAAAAAACGAAACTGTTTTTCACACTTAATTATACCTTAATTAATATGGACATTCAACAGTAAGACTAGTAGGTGAGGTCGAAAGAAATATGTTTTATAATTCACAACATGAATTTCTTTTCGGTGTTTATTCAGCTGTTAAAAAAAAGTTGTTTTCCCCATATAAATCCATATTAGTGAAGCAACTGACAAAAAACAAACTGCAAAGCTAGCAAACAAGAGTGAAAGTATCCACTATAACTATTTAATTCAATTTTAGATTTTCCTGTCGATTGATTGGATCGAATAGCAGGGTCTCAGGTTAACATGTCGGCTTCTTTCGCAGATGCTTTGACGAAGCCTGGGCATATGGGTTAGTCACTGGATGGTGACTAGCAGTGGAACCCAGGATGCGTGTTTCATCATATTTGGGACTCGTCACTCGGTTGTACCTGTATTCCGCAGTGAGTGATGATGTTCCCAGATATCGAGCACTTCGGTCCAGTCAGTCGACTGGAAAATTTAAAATTCAGTTCAATAATTAATATCACTCTTTGCACAAGAGATGGCTAGTTTTCGTGGCCCAAGTGGTCTAGTGGATAACGCACTGGCGTTTAAAACTATGGGTACTGGGTTCCAGCCTCAGAATGCAGGTAAATCCAGTGATGAGTCCCAAACAGGACAAGATGCATATCCTGGATTCCACTGCTAGTCACCATTCACCAATTCATATCCACTATGACGTTTATAAATTCTTCATTAGGTGAAAACTTTATTTCAATATTAGTTTATTTTTCTGAATTGTAAAATCCAGTTGTGTTTAGTGGTATGGATTGGATATGTGTGTTATTAAAGAGGAAATGTTTTTTCTTTCTAATGTCTAATAACCACCTTGAAAATTTCATTAGAAAACTGTGATATTTTTAAACTGTTTTACAATGAATTCAATAATATCCTGAATGTCACCTATATCTCTGTGTTCTGAAATTAGGATTTCTGACTGGTGTGTTTGTGTGTGTGTGTGTGCGTGGTAAGCAACCAAAATATATGGAATTATTTTTGTTCGAACAGTGGTGACACCCTAAATTTATTTTCATTGTATGGAGGATTTCATCATGGGCTGACATCAGCTAGAGAACCATTGGAAAACCAACTGGGAGTACTGGACAGCTGTTTCGTCCTGGTTTGGGACTCTTCATCAGGACTCTTCACCCCGGTGGGTGCGTGCTGCTGAAGAGTCTCAAACTAGGACGAAACAGCTGTCCAGTACTCTCAAGTTTCCCAGTGGTTTTCTAACTGATGTCAGCTCATGATGAAATCCGGCATGCAATCAAACACAATCTCCACAAAATCCCCACAAATTTTACGAATTAATTCAAGTAACTATTCTTAGGTTGAGCAGTTAAGTGACTCATAAGTAGTTAATTTTGTAAGCCACTAATTAGACAGAATACTAAAATGGCTTATTTAACCAGAGACTGAATGAGATAACTGCAGAGCGTTATGTACGCCTTGACATGATACATGGCATAAAGAGAAGCTTGTCCCTAAACATCTATATAAGAATATTTAGTTTGCTTTGCTAGGATTTTATAAACATTTTGAGTTGTTATTTAAAAGCTAGATAGAGTATGGATCAAAACTAATGGATGATAGTCGTCATCTTATTACTACTGTAAAGGAATAACTGTCTTGAGTACTTTTCTATTCATTGTGTAGTAAAGTGACTCAGATGTATACGAAGCATACGAGCATATAATGTCCGTTCTGTAGTGGTAAGTTATCCACTTCACAAAATAATGTAATAAAAAGGTGGTTTTTATTGTACTAGTGGTTCATTGATAGAATTCTCTCCAACTACACTGGGATTCCATGTTAGATTCTCAGTAGACGCACTTAAATACCTTGCCTAGTTAACTCGACAAAAGTGACTTCGGAAAAAGTAGCTGGTTAGATGTGAGACTGGTAAACCCACCTAATTTAATGAACACCAGTATGGTTACCAAAACATCAGAGCTTGAATTTTTATGTCACACTTGGAATACAAGCCAAGAAAAAGAAACTCCTTTTCTGGTATAAAACTATTGGATAATTCTGGTGTTTTAAAAAGGATTCATTCTGCTAACAATAATTGTTCCTTAACTAATACTGGCAAAAAAGAATAGCAAATGTAGCAGTATAACGTGAGCTCATTCTTATTATTCCATAGATCCTTCCCAACTGCCTACGACGTAAACTGTATCAAAATACATAAATTACAGAGTGGTTTTTGAGCATACTTTTATCATACTGACAGTAAGTTATTGATTGCAATTATGATTTTATTTCCTACCTCGTTTCGGATTCATGTTACTTATATTCCCTATAACTAAGTCATGAATACGATATAATTATGTTTCGTAATATATATTATGGTAGTGCCTGAATCTTAAGCTACTGAAAAAATACGCAAAATAATAATAATAATGAATTCATATGCTGATAAATTTGTTGCTTTCCCCTATTCATATTAAGAATATATTTTTGAATTGACCATGGATAATTTTTTTCAAGTTTATTACGAGTTCAACAGTTAATTAATCAATTTTTGATTTCATTTAAATACTTCAATAAATCATACATATAAATGTCAAATCCAGGATGAGGAAAGTCAGACAGACCTTCATTACAGTATTTCATCATGAGCTGACATCAGCTAGAGAACCATTGGAAAACCAACTGGAAGTACTGGACAGCTGTTTCGTCCTAGTTTGGGACAGTTCATCAGTTATATATATCAGCTATATCGTGAATTGGCAGAATTGAGAATTCATGGGCCATTGGATCAGGTCCCAGTGGCTTAATGGTCTACGAGCTAGCTCGCCTTGCAACCAGAATGTACTGGGTTTGAATCCCAGTGGGTACGTATTGATGAAGAGTCCCAAACTAGGACGAAACAGCTGGCTGTCCATTACTCCAAGGTTATCCAGTGGTTCTCTAACCAATTTCAGCTGATAATGAAATCCTGTAATCAACCAACCAAATCCCTAAAAACCAATACTTGAAGACCTTCATTACTGTGAAATCAGTGTAGAAATTTACAGCACCCAGCATAGGGAACAACAACGAAATTTTTAAGACTATTGTCAAGTCAATGACTTTATATGGTTCAGAGACTTGATGCTTGCATCACTAAAATTATTTTGAACTGGCTGTAAACTGTCTACAACACCTGCCTTCTCTTGCTCGATACAGAATATCAGATGACCAACAAAAGAGAAAAGAGAGGCAACAAGGAACTTTGATAGTATGGTGATACAATCAGCTGCCCAGACAACAAATGCACAGGAGGAAATGTGGACGGGGTTGGGCAGACGCTGAGGAGATCTAGGGTTACATGGAGAGCAGGTAAAGAGGAAGGGAGATTTTGTGGGCAATCGCGAAGCTATCAGGTAATGGTGATGGTGGACTGAGTGGAATGGAGATGTGTTGCTGAAGCCAAGAGGTTCTACTACAAACTGAAGGAAAGAATATCAATATACATACTATATAATACAGTCTTTTATCAAAACAAAGAATATTAAGACTTACTGATACCAGTGACGATTCAACAATGTATATAGGAGCAGATATACCAATTATGGCTAATGGTTGACCAGATAAAAGTGTAAAAAGTATCAAGTATATTCCAACTGCTAAGAGTGTTAGTGTCACTGTGTAGGATGGATCAACTTGGGTATCTGAAATAAGGAAGAAATATGAAAGAAAAGATCCTTATTTTTGGTTAAAATATTGAAGAATGATTATAAATATATCTTCCTGAAAATAACTAAATAATTAAAGAATAAAGTATTCTATTTAAGACTCAGAATTCGTAAAACTTAATGAGGTGATCATGTTTAATGAAATAAATATCTATTAAAATAATTGAGCGAATGCTTGATTGGATGTTATAAGAAATATTCAAGCAAGCAGACTCTGAACTACCAGTTTGAGATGCTATCATCTTAGCTGTTAGGCCTAAATGGTAAATAGGTCAAAGTTTCACTGCAGTCACCAAGGGTAACCTCCAACTATCATGAGAATTAACAATACAATACTGTCCGTTAATCATCACAGTAGCTGTCTAATGATGTCTTCTCCTACCAATCGTAAATAGAAGAGGAGGAACAGGTTATTAATTGATTTTTAGACTATCTGAGATTGTATTAGGTTGAATGTACACGACAGTTTTCTACCTCAATGTTTAGATTTTCACCACGAACTGATATTAGTTCGAGAGAATCAGCCTCGCGAACGAGCTTGGTCTTGCAACCCAAAGGTTCCGGGTTCGAACCCTGGTTGGGTCGTGGGCAAGCACTCTGAAGGGTCCACAACTAGGGAGGAACAGATGTCCAGCGCTTTCTGATTTCCAATGATATCTTTAAATAATGTTGGTTCGTGAACAAAATCCAATAACTGAAAGCAAAACACGTCATCAGTTCATGAATTCAGTGATGCAGGCTTCTTAGCTGCTATCTTAGAAATGCTAAAACCGTATGACTGGAGACTGTTGTTAATATGGCTTAAAGTAGTTATCAGTTGCACAGATGAATTAACTATTTTCAATCTTTAAGATCAAATGCATCCTGATTACTCACTAGGTAATTATTCTTTCGCCCGTAAATTTCCGTTTATTAGAGTTTTTATGCATTTATTTTTCTCTTTAACCTTATGGAGTGTGGGGAAATGAACTGCTGCACTTTTGTGAATAACTCTAGGTAGAAAATTCAGTTCACATTTTAGTTCCCTTAATAAAAATATTACAATATATTTGTCTACTCTTCCTTTACGTGCATTGGTGAGAAGTGTGTTTTTCGCAAATATTTCATCTAATTCTTTCATGATTTATTTTACTCAGTGGATGAAAAACAATACCAGATTGCCTTTAATTGACATTTAAAAAGAAAATCTAATACGGATAAAAGGAATCGGTCAACCGGAAATTTACCGTGTTTACGTTTTTATAGGACAGCTTAGTCAAGCAAATTTCTGTATTAATGATTGTCAGTTATGACGTAGTTGACAAGACAGGGACTAACTAGTACCATGTTATTTAATCTTCAGTGATAAGTGGACTCTACCAGAAAAGTGTGAAACGTGTTCACCAATTATGGAGACTCATCATTACACTGCACTTTGATTTGGTGTTCTGTGGTTGAAATTCAGTCAGAGTTGAAAGAATACACAATATAATAATGGCAATTCTCTGATTAATTTTGTCCAAAAACTGGGGAATATCACTAGACAAAATAAAAATAATACTCTAATTATGTGTTACAGTAGTTGTCACTTTACACAAGTCACACACACACCCTAATCGCATATTTAGCTACCAGAGCTCTCCATTTTATTCACTCAGCCGGTTTCAAATCTACTTAAACTGCTATCTAAAAATTCAATTTCAATATTTTGAATATTGTTTTTATAAAACCAGGCGACATCCACCAGCTCATATCGTCTGTTGAAATAGGATGTGTTGGATTAAGGCGTGATTACTACCTCTAACAAGATGAGACTGTCGCTTTAAGTCTCTCTACAAAGAATACGTGATCTATACTTCACCGCTGGCATACTGGTTATCACGTATAGTCTAATATAACAATTCTACTATTGGATTGAATCACAAGCATTTAAAAGGGGCATCAAGAGAGGAAATTCAGTCAAAATATGCGAAATAAATAAATAAATACAAACTCAGGCCTTTTCTTTGGAAGCAATTATTATGTATGGACCTGTTATGCAATGTATGATGCATTTTTAATTGGACACCAGTCAGTAACAAGTTCAGTGTGTATATCTAGTCCTATATCTAGTGCAGACTGAATTCTGTTAGTCATGTTTGCAATTTGGCTACCATTCTAGGTGGTTCGCCATCACTGTGCACTGTGAACTGTTGATAATTGATGGTTCGAGGCATTCATTAAGAAACCTGACTAGCTCAGTGGTAACGTCTCTGACTGTGGCACTGGGTGAGGCGGTTTCTAATCTCAGAAAGGACTTAAGTTCCTTTGAAATTGCATATACGCCTTGCTGACTAGTGAGTACAAACTAGCCGAAAACCTAGGTGCAAGGCTTCCTAACGATCGCCTCCAGCCATCTATTACTAACAGTTGTATGATGTACATTTGTATGGCAATTTATAAAAGTTTGGCCAGTAAACTCGTGCAGGTATTAAAATCTGTGCTTTTTCTTAGACCAGAATATCTGTTACTTTAAAAACTTGTGAGTTTCGGCTGTAGTTTCCTGCAGTGAATGCATGTGTCACAAACTTTACCTTTTTGAATGTAGTACTTAGGATTTTCCGAAATAATTACCCTGATAAATCAATGCTTCCTTTATAATACCTGAAAGAATAAAAGTTATTTCATACATTTGATTCCTTTGATAAATTTCGATAGAGAAAGAAAGATCAAATTTTCAGTATTAAATTATATCATTCTATTTCACAGGTCCTCATCAACTGGAAACTACCTGAAGTTATAATGACTATAGATAATGACATTTTTTACGTCAATGTTTGAAAGTTAATGGAGAAAACATTATAAGGTGAACGCAGCCAAAACACATCACCATTTGAAAGACAGAAGATGCTTGCTGAGCACCATAGAGCGGCACTAAAGAGACTATAGGAAAATTATGACATCGTCATATTTAGAGTTATAATGTTATAATGAATAAAACTGATTATGTACTTAAAATGTTAACAGTTCTTAACTATTCCGAAAAAATCGAGGTGGACAAAACTAAGAAGGATGCAACAACGTCATTTCAAAATAAAGTAAATAAATCCCCGAAAGAGTTCCCTATCAAGAAACTTATTGACAACAAAACTTGCAACGAACTCAGATCAAAAGGTAGGCACTTCCCATTTATGTATGGTCTGCCAAAAATCCATAAGGCCAATGTACCCTTAAGACACAGATTATCAATGATAAGCCAGTCATGCCACAAACTAGCTCTATGGCTAAACAAATTTCCAAATCTTAGCTTGTAAAATACCGTCCATTTTTCTGAAGAAGTAGATTATGTCGATATTTCAAATGATCTCATGGTGTCATATAACGTGACCGCATTATTTACAAATGTACCAGTGATGGAAACAATAGACGTCATTTGTAAATAAACAGATATATTGCCATTACCGGAAACAGAGGTGAAGCGCCTACTAATTTGTTGCATAAAAGACATCCAATTCAAATTCAACAACCAATTCTCACAACAAACTGATGTGGTCACCATGGTTTCACCTCGAAGACGTATTCTAGCTGACATCTTGATGAGTTATCTGGAACAGACGCGACTGAGTGATGCTATCAATGAAGCAACCTACTATCGCCCATATGTCGATGATACGTTTGTTGTTTGTAACTACATGAATCAGGCATCCAGATTATTTGACCGCCTTGATGAGATCCACCTAAACATTAAATTCACCATGGAATATGAATACAACGACGAGTTTAATTTCCTGGACCTTTATGTAAAAAAGAAGAAACATTGGAACAGTCCAAAAGTTCATATTCAGAAAAGAAACCTGGACGGGACAATTTCTTCACTACAACAGCTTTTGCCCTACAACCTATAAGTGGGGATTTGTAAGGACACTGTACGACGGAGCGAGGAAGTTATGTTCGCTAACTAAGTAGAAGAGGAATTAAGCTCTGTTGCAGAATGCCTAAAGGAAACCCAGTATCCAAAGGGATTTATCCTAAAATACAGCAACGAAAAGGATGAGAAAGCGAACTACCCAACAGTTGAAGAGAAGAAAGTGTTCATTTGCCTCTCATTCAAAGGAGAAGCAGTATCACAAAAGATTAACAAGAGGATAAGAGGAGCAATAAAAAGATGATTTTTGATTACAGCTTGAATCCACACTGTATTTTGGTACAAGTATGAAATTTTCAGGATGGATATCGGTAGCCCAAATTTTGTAGGCCGACCATTGATATCAGGTGTGCGTCGGCAGGGGATCAAACCTCGGACCATGTGCATGGTCGGTGAGAGTCCTAACCACTGTGCCACCGACGCACAGATGCTTGCTTACAGCTAAGCTGGTGTCGCTATTCAGCACTACATGCTCTATAAAGTAATCGAAACTCTCTAGGTACCCTACTGATATTACCTCCAACTACATTTGTAAATTTACGTGCACCGGCGACAGCAATTGCGTTGGAAGGACAGAAAGAAGGCTTCTATCCCGTTTTCAGAGCATATTCCAAGAAAATTATGCCTAAAAGGAAGCAGATATTTACAGAGTACAATTACTTGACACATAGTAGATATGGGTCACTTCGTCCAGATTTCTAAATCCTTCAAATTACCAAACATACAAAGGACAGCTAATTTACGCCGATTTGTTGAAGCAGTTGCAATCAAATGTTTCAAACCAAACACAGAAAAGGAGTGTAGTTAATCTTTCACTCCCTTGGTAACCGTATTATTTTGATTACACTGATTAGTCATACACATTAGTGAGCTCAGCTCACTGGGCAAGTTTTCAATTTGATGAACTTTACCCTTCTTGAGTTATTATGTTGACGTACAGGCTAATGCTGTTTTTTAGATTCTTCTGTTTTTGTCTTCTGTCAAATCCCTTTTTTCATAGTTTGAAAGTATATAAAATGTTGATGACTCAAACTAAAATTCGTAATTCTTATATTCCAGATGCGTTCATCTTATAATGTTTTCTCAACTACCT